CTCAAACAATCCGCCCGCCTCGGCCTCCCAGAGTGCTAGGATTACAGGCGTGAGCCACCGCACCCGGCACTTTACCAGTCATTTTGAACAGTTACTTTAACTTGAAAGTTAAACCCATCAAACTTGGAAATATAAAGTAGTTACAGGAAACTTTTTTGAAAGAAATTACTCGTATCCTGGATGCAAATAAATAAATGAAGCAAATTGACAGTAAGAAGGAATATATTTAGAGACTCATCTCTCACCTCTTCCACACTCTAAACAATCTTCTTTTTCAACTTAAAAAATGGAAAATGTGACAAACTTACCAACTTCCCACTTCAGAAGGCTGTTGTCTTCCCTCTCCATTTTTCCAATGACATACCAAATACATGCCATCCAGTGTGCAAGGAGCGCAAACATGGACATGAGCAGAGTCAGGACGATTGTGCTATGTTGGGAATAACGGTCCAACTTCTGCAGGAGACGCAAAAGACGCAACAGCCGTACCGTCTTTAGAAGATGCACGAGAGACACCTGTGGCAGGAGACAGAGCAGCACAACATGGTGCGTGGGTTAAATTCATGCCACAACATTTACTTTAACTTACATCCAATCTGAAAAGTCCTTGAAATTAAGCATAATGATTTCAATACCATGGTCATTTTAATGACTGCTTTCTTAGTTCTTGACGTATCAGGAGGTGATAGGATAAAGGAGGGTAGGATACAGGAAAGGATAAAGAAGATAATTTCTTTGAGTAAATAGTTACCTTCCTTAATTAGGATTTATCTTTTTCTCTAACTGATTTCATACAATTTTACACATTCTGATACACAACTGAAACACATTGTGGTATCAGGATTGTACAGAAGATGTCTCCACCCCCTCACACACGTTTTCTTTCAACACTACTTCTCCTTCCCCACGTAAGGTAGTTGCTTTATAACAATAATTTGTATAAATTGAAGTAAAAGCTTGGAAATTGATAATAAAAAGAACTTAGGTTTTATTTATTTATTTATTTTTTTGAGACAGAGTCTCACTCTTTTACCCGGGCTAGAGTGAGTGCCGTGGCGTCAGCCCAGCTCACAGCAACCTCAAAC